TTGTCCTGTAGCCACTGATGTTACTTAAACCAACATGACACTCAGGACTGAAGAGACTGCCTACTTTTAGCTATAAACTGCCTTTCCAGGACTCATACGTATGATTACAGTTCTATTTTCAAGGACTGATAAAAGGCTCTGCAAATGGACTGGTGGCAGGAGACCAGAGCTGGGCACTTTTCCACAATCGTCGCTACCCCTGTAGAGGTTATTCAGAAATATAATCTTGTCACAAAGTCCTGGGTACAGACGCGGCATGGTACACATACCAAACGCGACAATTCCACAAGAGTGCTATGGACCCCCATCAACGCCACCTGTCAGCAACTGCCCCTGAAATACCCGAAGGGGACCCCGGCATCAGGGATGGCAGCAGTGGTTCCTTCTTGATCTAAGTAGACTAAATTAAATTTGTACCTAAAGAACTAGTTTCCAGATTTCAGTGTTTCCCCAGCAACACATTATTTTTAAATCAGTAAGTTAAAATTGCTGGTGAACAGTAATTTTTAGGAAAACTGAGAGGCAAAATGAATAGCTGGAATTCTCCGGGTGGGTGGCCACCTACCGGAGCATCAGCACTGCTGGGACCCGATGAGGCCCGAGGCACCTGGGGAGCTGAACTAGCAGGTTGTGGGGCCTTGGGAGTGGAGAGATGTTACGTCAGAAGGAATATAAATTCTGCAAACTAAACCTGGTAGTTTGGGGAAAATGTGTTTAACCCACTTTAGTGCTCCGCTTGTAGTGTTGCTTTCCTGCTTTTCAACCCGCGTTTACTATGTGAGTGAAACACAAACAAAACGCGCCTGGGCGGTTGCTCGCCATGAAAACACCTGCCCGGTGCCCGCGCGTCCCGCAGGCGTCCTCCCTCGGCCTTCAGCGGGCGCTGCCTCGTGTCTTCAGGGGTGTATCCTGGAGAGGTCATTTTTTACCTGCTCTGAAGCCCGAAGGAAAATGGTTCTTGGCTCCTTGGCCTTTAATCTTAGTGACTACCTGATGCCGCTAAAGCGTTTTAGGAAAGAACTTTATCTGCTGAAACTTCCTTTGGAAATCAGAATATTATACTGCAGGCCCTGAAAGGGGAAAACTATGAAGCTTGGCCAGGTGTGACACAATCATTTGATGGAGGACATGGTATGGGCCAATCTTTTTTCTTAATGAACACACTTGTTATTGTTTGGGTTTGGAGAAAAGCTATTGTTTCCTTAAAAAACGTGTATAGAAAGCTAAAAGTGTGAAATCCATTCTAGCACGTTAAAAACATTTGGGTTTTAAGGTAGTATCATAGATATAAATATATCCAACTTCAAATTACTTGGAATTCTAGATTCTAAATATTTTAAGTTGACATTAAAATGAGATGAAGTGTAAATTCACCTGTGATCCCCCCCCCTTCTGGTTCTTCAGTACATAGGATGCAAGACTGGGAGGTGACCTTTGCTAGGGACCGTTATTGCGACTGACTTCCAAGCAGTATTTTTTAGTTGCATCCCACTCTTTCAAAAAAGGAACCCTATTGTGCTCTCAATACAGATACTGAAACCTCAATTTCACTGTTGGATTTTTTTGTTTTTCAAAACATCTTTTCTACAGACAGATTCTCTAGAAGCTAGCCAACAATCCAGGCCTCACACCTGGGCTAACAGCTTCATAGTTCAAAATTTAAAAAGTCGGGTCGGAGAGAAGTGACTAAAAATCAAATGACAATGGCCATCTGGGGAAGCGCTTCCCCACAGCGAGCAGGGGGCTTCTTGGGGACAGCGGCCCCCCAAGCCCACTACCACTGCTGCCAAGCGGCAACATGCTCACCAAGGAAGGGGCCCCAGGAGGCACACGCTCACCAAGGAAGGGGCCCCAGGAGGCACACGCTCACCAAGGAAGGGGCCCCAGGAGGCACACGCTCACCAAGGAAGGGGCCCCAGGAGGCACACGCTCACCAAGGAAGGGGCCCCAGGAGGCACACGCTCACCAAGGAAGGGGCCCCAGGAGGCACACGCTCACCAAGGAAGGGGCCCCAGGAGGCACACGCTCACCAAGGAAGGGGCCCCAGGAGGCACACGCTCACCAAGGAAGGGGCCCCAGGAGGCACACGCTCACCAAGGAAGGGGCCCCAGGAGGCACACGCTCACCAAGGAAGGGGCCCCAGGAGGCACACGCTCACCAAGGAAGGGGCCCCAGGAGGCACACGCTCACCAAGGAAGGGGCCCCAGGAGGCACACGCTCACCAAGGAAGGGGCCCCAGGAGGCACACGCTCACCAAGGAAGGGGCCCCAGGAGGCACATGCTCGCTAAGAGGCCACAGCAGTCCCACGGCTCGCGCGGGTCTGTCCGCGCCGGGACCTCCCGCCTACGCGGAGCCCTGGTGGCCGAGGGCCCGCGAGCTCAGCCCCGGGAGGATGTCTGTCTGTCTGTCTGTCTGTCTCCTCGGGGCGCGGCGCGG